TTAGTTTTCAACACTATCACCCTATCACATCCTACTGTGTGATTATGTGTCATCACATGCAGAGCTATTGTCGAGCTTTTCTCTAGATTTCTTATCTTATTAGGATCTACTAATCTTGATTTAGCTAAGTTTCTGTGCTGTGTGTTATTCTAATCGACCCTGGTAGACTACTTTGTGACCTATTTACTTGACCTCACAATCATTGCAAGGGATATGGTAAACCAGATTATTTTACTTAGTTGCATCGATAGGATCGCCTAATCTATGAAGCTTGATTCTCAGCGGTTTCGTTTGTTGGTTTGAATGCCTGCCAGTTTAATCCCAGTTAGCCTTATTGAGAATTCTTCGTAATGCTTGTGTGGTGCCTTCCTTGTATGGTAACATAGTAGAGGCTTTGAATCCTTTCTCAACCCTGTCACTACTATTACCATTAGTAGTGGGATTATTGTTAATAACACTAGTATCATTATTACTACTACTACTACCACCACTGCTAATATTTTCCTTTTGATTTCTTATGAGTTTATTGATAAATTTAGGTGGTTAATTATTGAGAGGTAGGGTATTCTTGATGTGTCTAATTTCTTGTTGCAGATTTCCCAATCTACTAGTAATCTTGTTCGCTCTATCACTCAACTAGGCCTACTTTGACTGGAATGGGGTGGGATGATTCGAAGTCTAAGTAGTGATTCGAATGTGTAGGTTTCCTGTAGACACTAGTTTCTAGATTTCCTTCTTGTGTTGGTTTAATCTTGCAATCGAACATTGTTAGCTCAACTTCTTGACTTTCGTAGTCACAGATGAATTCGATTTCATTTACTACTGAATTTATATGTGTCAAGAACCTATTGATGTGTTTTGATTTCAGTACTGTAAGCGTACCATCCAGAAGTGCTTCTATTTGGAGGTTTATAGGGGTCACTGAACCACTAGATTCTAACTTAGTGGCTCAGTGGTAACGTGCTGGTTGCAGAACCTGAAATTTCTGCGTTCGATTTTTGACAGGGTTATGGATGCACGCTGCTGAGAAGTCTTATACTGGGACAAAACAACTGTCGAGTGATCGCAGGTTTTCAGTTTTTCTCCAACTGATATCAGTTCATGATAAATATAAACCTGGAATCACGAAGTGATTCTGTTCGAAGAATGGAAGTTACTGTTTCAATTCTGAAATTAGATTTCTCTTGTCCGTTTCAGCTTATTACGGATGATATTGTGCAATCTGGGTAATTAGACAGTCAATTAGGAAATCTACTTTGTAATTAAGAGGGGAATCAGTTAGGAAAGTAAATGTCCCCCTAAATTTTTACTGATGAGTAGTGTTGAACTCAGTGGAAGCTACACTTTGCGATTCCTTTCATGTCTTATCTATTGTTTTCTCTCAGTACTGAAAGAAAAAACACTGGCAAGAACTGGCATTTCTTGGTAGATAGACTAAAAGAGTTTTGTTGTATATTATTATTATTCGTCCCTTGGGTTCCTACTGGAACATACGGCTCCAGTAGCACACCTCCATTCCACTCTCTTCTCTTCAGTCTCACAAACATGGCTCCACCACTGCCAACAAGCTATCATTTCTTCCTCCCACCATCTCATCCATGCCAACCTCAACTCGGATGCACAACTCGTCGTTTCCCTTTTGCATTCCACTCAAGTGACTGACTGGCCCGGCCTGTCGCGTGGTGTCCCCAATACACCTTCTCAGTGTATGCTCAATCCGTCTCCACTCTCTTCTACTGCATAGTTACTGGGTGGTGGGTTGTTGGCTGGTTCGTTGACAGCCAGCCACAGTGAGTTCTTTGTTGCTTATTCCTATTATTCTGGCAATCCATCTGATCTTCAGTGTCAGTATGGAGCCAGCGTGGGTGGCAGCTCTTCATGAATGTCTGTATTTTGTTGTATATTGATAGAATGTTTTTATATTCATGAACTGGATCCCATTGATGAAACTGATGCAGTTTGATGGGATCGTTTTGAATTTTGGGAACTTCAGTTAAGCGAAGGTTGAAAATAAAACCTGAGTCATATAAAAGTGTATAGATAGAGTACTTAAAAAGATAAACTTTTTAAGATGTTGATCATTGGGTAGATCAAGTGGAATTGACAATCACTTGAGACGGAGGTGGGGTAAAGAAAGGCTAATTTCCTTCATCGATTTATTCATACAAGGACAAATTTTTGTATTCAGTTGATTAACTGGTATTTAATAGAGAATAGACTAATTATTCACAATTCATGTGTATAACGTTTTGATAGGAAGGTGTAGAACATTGAAAGGCTCTAGCTATTCAAACGGTATCACTTTCGTAGCAAAAGTGATTAGCAAGGCTGAAGTCAAGCTTACTGTTTCTTCTAAAATAGGAAAGTCAATTGATGAGGTTCTAAATCTCGACTGAATTGAGTGGCTGTATTAAGCAGGCCAGTGACCACCTTCAGATCGAGTTTGGATGGCTGAAGTAAGTTTAGATTGAAGGGTGTTAACAGCAGCAAGACAAAAACACAGTAGTCCATAAAGCCTCTAATTATTCTTGTAGGCCGTGTGGAGAAATGCAGACTTCCTGGGTGGGGTCGAAATGTCGACTAGATGGTATAACTGGGAATCTATCTTACTGACATATGTGCATCTGTGCACTATTTTCATAATGATCATCATACTGAATTTTCTAACTTTTTTTACCATAGTTTCTTCCGTTTTACGACTTTACATAAGTTTTCTTTACTTCTCTGTTTGCTTTCGATTATTCATAATCGTACCTAAAACCGTGATTGTGTCAGCCTGGCTGATCCTCATTTATACCATATCTCAAGTTGATATTGACTAACTTGAATGACTGACTATAGCAGAGCAATGTAGCAGATTAATCATCTGTTTTCATCTTGTTTATTGGCGTATGTAAAAGTTGACATCAGTTGAAGAACTGTTGAAAACATGAGAACTCGGAACGGATTTTTCATCCTATTATGAGTCTCCTCAGAACTGATCAGTCACGACCCCGCTAGGAGTCAAACCTAGGACCTTTAAGTTGTACAGCAAGCACATTACCATTTGGTCACTAGATCGGCATCGAATGATCTACGTTTTTCCACTATAGTATGACCTTCATCCAATGCCATCGTCTGCCAATTTTCTTCAAACTCGACTTGGTGTTCACCATGGGTGAGGAGTTCTTGTTAGAATGTCTTTAAATTTCACCTAGAAACATGTGACAAATGGGCACCGGTGAATGTTCATGATGAATATCAAAATGAAATACAATTCGATCTTTCACTGTTTATCTCTTATCGATTGAAGTAGGCAAATATATACCCATATCATTCATTACCCCATTTCCTTTAATTAATATTTAATTACACAAGAGATAACTTTAATGATCCAATGACCCAATGGATAACACTGTAGCGTTTGAAGGAGTAGCTGCTAGGTATACATTTCATTGGGAACACCTTCACTCATTAAGATACGAGTTGATTCAAGCGAGGATTTTTTTAAGCAATATGAAACGTGTGTAGTGGATTCTACTCCAAGCCATCACTGAGCCAAATAAAACTATGTGATGGTTGAGAGACTTGGCAGTGCGTTACAAAAAGCATTTCAAACAAACAAATACAGATACACATCACATCAACAGCTGCCACCTACACTCACTCCATACTGCTACTCGCACTGAAGATCCAATAAATGGACAGGATAATAAGAATAAGGAAGAAGAAACTCACTGTGTCTGGCAACAATCCAACGAAGAAGCTATCGCGCAACGAATATGGAGAGGAAAGTGTAGATGTATTCGACTGGGGTGGAGTGGAGTGGACATGCACTGAGAAAGAAGACAGTTTGGGGACATCATGCACCAAGCCAAGCGAAGCTGGGTCAGGCCAGGCCGTCGTGTGGAAGCCGAATGGGAAAGGAAGAGTTGTGCGTCTGAGACGATGGTGACGTGGAGAAGATAGTGTGAGGAGGAAATGAAAGCTTGTGGTCGAAGTCGTGAATCCAGGTTGAAAATACTGCAGAGAAGAGAGTGAAATGAAGACGTGCTACTGAACCCCTGTGTTCGAGTTAGGAATCCAAAGGAAAAATAATAAATAATCATAAATTAGTTTGATAGGATGTAAAACACGTTTATTTCAACCCATCTGAAATCTTATATAAGCCTTTGACAGTAATCGCTGAGATCCCATATCAAATAAACGAATAAGACTGAATTAGATTAGTTCAGCACAAAAAATCATTTTTGATTTTCAGTGGTAAAAGCATCCCTTGGCACAGGTACTTTTAGGTGATGCGTACCAATTATGTAGCTATCATATAGCCATCATATAGGTATTATAGGAACACATAATTGGAAAAGAAAATTCTCATACCAAATGAACTAACCTTCACTACCAAACCTACGTCTGCTTTTCTTTTCATCCAACATGGAATAAAATAAAAACTAAATGATTGGTAGAAAAATGGTTTTGTTCAGAATGAAGATGTCATACTTTGGATTACTATTATTTTTCCCTTGGGTTCCTAGTGGGACATACAGCTTCACTAGCATACCTCCATTTCACTCTCTTCTCTGCGGTCTTTTCAACCTGGCATCACGACTGCCCATAAGCTTTCATTTCTTCTTCACATCATCTCTTCCATATCACCCTCACTTCGGACGCCCAACTCGTCATTTCCCCTTTGGGTTCCACTCGTAGGCGTGGCCTGGCCTAGCGTATGATGTCCCCAATAGGCCTTCTCAGTGTATGCCCAATCCAATCCATCTCCACTTCCTTCTGCATATTGGTTGAGCGATACCTTCTTAGTTGGTTCGTTAGCAGGCCAGAGTTCCTTGTTGCTTATTCTTATTATTCTGGCAATCCATCTGATCTTCAGCTTCAGTATCGAGCCAGCGTAGGCAGCAGCTGTTGATGAATGTCTATACTTTGGATTAGTGAGGCCGAATTTAATAACCATCAATAAAATATTATCAAAGTCTAGTTATCATTTTATTATTACTTTTGCTTTTCAGTATTTATTCGTCAAAGACATCCACAATTGAAAACTGGATCTATCAATCTGTGTATGACAGATGTATGTGTTCAAGCAAGACGAGTTGCTAATAATCAACGAAGTCGACAACATCCATTACATATTTCACCATCTCGACAAGAATTAACAAAATCTCATGGAAATAATTCAACTGATCAATATGAATGTGAAAGTCTTTTAGGTATTAAAAATCGAATGAACAATTCAATTCGTTCAATTTCAACTGGAAAATTGTCAAAATATAATCATGAGAGTATAATTATGACAACAGTGACAACAACAACAACAACAACATCATCATCATCATCATCAACATCACCACAACAACAAACATTAATGAATCCTTTAATCAATGAATATGAATCTAATTATTGTATTGAAATCCCAAAAACTGAAATTAATGATACTGGTTTTATAGAATCAGAAAATGATGAATCTATTCTACACATTGTTGATGATGGACATGATCTTTGTTCAGATGAAATAGATACACCTGCATCATGTTCTGTTCATTCATTTATCTCAGATCAAAAATAGACAACATTGATACCATTGAACAAATGTTTATAAATGCATTAACAAAGAAATATTATTTCAGGGCTGTGTAACAACTATCTTATCACTATACTGTTGACTTTATCTCATCTATTATTCTTTAATTAAATGAATAAATATTTGTGAATAATTAAATTGTTTGATAGAAAAAGAGAGAGACAGAGACAGAGACAGAGGTGAACAATTTGAGCAGCAAAATTCATTTAAGTTTACATTGAATTAAAAATAAAGTTTTTTTAACCATGTCAAATATGTTTATTTTCTCCTTTGAAGACAATAGAAGCTATGCGTGATAATAGTTATTAGGTTTCATTATTTATTTAGTCTACAGGGTGTTTATTATTTCCAATTCTTTTAAATTATTGCAGCATTATGAATTATTCATTAATTTCTTTCTTGTTTTGTTTGTTTTTCAAGATTGTATCCTTTTTAATACAATACTACTAATGTTAATAAAGTACTACATTACAATTGTAGCATACTGTTTTTTTTTTAAGTTTGAAGACTTTGACCTTTATCAAGTCTGGTGTTGTGTCAATTGATTAATTGATAAGTAATTAATTTTTAATTTAACTCTGAAAAAGGAGTCTTCATTTTACTTTTTAACCTTTATTGAATATTGAACAGTGAATATTGAACATTGATGATGAAATTCATGATAGTTTTATGTGAACAATGTGAATATTGATGTATTTTAAGTGTTTATGTAATCAACTGATACGTGTATCCTGTATACTTCTAAGTTTTCTGTTACTATTCAATAAGTTGACAGTCAGCGGTTTAGGTTGATTTAACAGAATTAAAATACTGAAATTGACACCTGATTAAAGATGATTTCTATGAAGAATCAAAATAATATATTGGTGTTCTATGAGAAATATAGTTGATATTCTTTTATCTATTTCCTTTACTGTGTCTTTTTTTTCACTTTTTTTCTTCATAACTCTTCTTTAATTGAATTGACTGGTTTTTTAAGGAATGAATATATACGCAGTGAATTTAACGCTTGCTTGTATTTATCTCCTTCAGATTATCCGCCCTCTACCCCATGTATCTGTGATGATCAAATTATAATATTTCAGTAGTTGTATCTATTACATCGAAAAGTTTTATAAGTAGTATAATGATATTAATAATGGTACTCCCTCCTCCTTCTCCTTTAAAAAAAATAATAATTTAAGTAGTCTCTTTTAAAATGTTTTTTGTGTATTTCAATATCAAGATATATATATATATATATATATATATATATATATATCTGAAATTCTTCTTATGAATATGCATTGCTTAATATGGATAAGAAGATATTATGGATAAAATAAACGAACACTATTATTGATAACAAATATTTGAAATCAGATCATGGATATTACAACTTCTCATTCAAAGAACTTTAAAAAATAAACAAACAAACAACTACTGTAATTCTATTGCACATCTACTTACATGACCAAAATGAATAATACTATTATTACTAATACTAATGTTATTATCATCATTAACAAGGATACTATTTCAAGATGTTTATCATTATACTTCTAAGCATAGAATGAAAGTGATGTGTAACGTAAATGTTACTTTTATTCCACTTTGTTTATTGCTTATTAATCATGAATATACAAAAAAAAAAACAAAGAAGAGATAATTTTTAGCTTTCAGTTGTGATATTTGTATAGTATTGTCTATAAATAAAGTGAATGAAAGAAATAACAAAAAAAACACAACAAGAAATCTGTATTTTTTAATTTATCTGTTTCCTTTTTTTCCTCCTCGTAATCCTTTAGATGTGAGGAATAAGTAGAGATGATAATAAAGTGACTGTTGAATCAGAGACACTGTGTTATTGTGTCTAGTGAGCAATTTTAAGTGGTCATTAGAAATGATATTGAATAAGTGGCGGCTCCTGTGCCCCATTAGCCTGTTGGGTAACGCTTTGAGATCTGAAGCGATAAGTATTGCGCTTGAATCTCAGTGGAAACAACATCGCTCACTGGGAAGTAGGTACATCCAGCTGATAATTTTCAAACAGACTGAAACGCTCCTCTTGGGTTCCACTGTGAGTTGTAAAGAGCTACCTGCACATTATACTTTACTGGAATTTGAAATCACAGTGAAGTAGATCAGTATGAGTACTTTCTAACTACTCGTACCGTTCAGCAGTATATTTCCTTAGTTCATAATAATTTTGTGTCAGAAAGCACGCCTTGTGATCTTAGCTTACTGTTGATTTTCAACGAAGACTCCATTGATACCACTGCTGAACAGGGCTGACGTGGATCATGAGATTTATAAATCATTTACAAATCGATCACACTATTTTAGGTCTACTAGTCCATCCATGTCAGCTAGTCAGATTCAGTTGGTTCGGACATTTCGGTTCTGTAAGCCAAATATATGCAGGCATGCTACTGATGAACCCTGTCCAAGAAGAGCAAAACGGCCCTCTAATGTTTAAATCACTATGATCTGGCCGGCAAAACTTGTAGATTAGCCAAAGCAGTTCCTAACTACTCACACTGTTCAGTAGTTTGTTTCAAAACAACTTGGTGTTTAGTAATGGACATGTCAATCGTTTTATTGGTGGTTGCATACTAACTAGAGGAAATTACATCGATTTCAACATACATTTCTATACGTTTATATCACTGCACTTACACACCTTATGTGTAACTGGTAGATGTACCGAGAAAAAATAATGTTTTCATGAAGCAACACCAGTTTGGAAGAAGTCATAAATCTTTGGATTTTCAGTGGATAAACTAGGCATTCAAAATACTCATTAACGTGGATTAAAAGCTTCTCACTATTCAATTTATGATCTAGGGGACAATTACAAAACAACATATGATTGAATAAAATGTAAGCTGTCAGCGGCAATGCGTTATCTCATAAAAGCCATACAAATGACTATCAAGATTTAATTTAAACAAATTATTGAAGTAGTATTGAGATAAACACCCAACACACAAGAGAGACACAAAATCTGGTTCACATTCCAAATAATACGTTTGTGGGAACAAAGCCAAAACTCAGAATTTCCCTTTTATTCACAGACTGATAGCCTTAATATTGATCTCAGTTGACGGTTCATAAAAAGCCTTTTTTAAAAGCATTAACCAGCTAAGATAAGTGATAATAATAATTTGTCCTTTGGGTTCTTACTAGAACATAGGGGTTCAGTAGCACGTCTTCATTTCACTCTCTTCTCTGCAGTATTTTCAACCTGGATTCACGACTTCGACCACAAGCTTTCATTCCCTCCTCACACTATCTTCTCCACGTCACCATCGTCTCAGACGCACAACTCTCCCTTTCCCATTCAGCTTCCATACGACGGCCTGGCCTGACCCAGCTTCGCTTGGCTTGGTGCATGATGTCCCCAAACTGTCTTCTTTCTCAGTGCATGTCCACTCCATTCCACTCCACTCCACTCTACTCCACCCACCCAGTCAAATACATCTACACTTTCCTCTCCATATTCGTTGCGCGATAGCTTCTTCGTTGGATTGTTGCCAGACACAGTGAGTTTCTTCTTCCTTATTCTTATTATCCTGTCCATTTATTGGATCTTCAGTGCGAGTAGCAGTATGGAGTGAGTGTAGGTGGCATCTGTTGATGTGATGTATGTCTGTATTTGTTTGTTGGAAATGCTTTTTGTAACGCACTGCCAAGTCTCTCAACCACCACATTGAAGCACTGACGTGACTGATATCAGTCTTGAAAATCTGGATCTTGTTCACGCTTTATGCTGAATGCAGTAGATCTCCACAATGATTATTTTAGATTGATGGAGGACTGTCTTGTTGTCTTTCCGATCCTGGCTGCTTTGATATTTTCATCTGTACCCTTGCCGTCACTTGTAGTTGAAACGATGCTGCATTGTCTAGTTAGATGAAAGATACTGCTTATTTTAGATTTCTCCTGTTCATGGTGATTAGTGCTTGTTGTTGATTGGGCACCTTTATCACCTTTGTCTTTCCTACGTTCACCTGAAGGAAGTCCTGTCTTCTTTGCTCCTCCTCGTCTTGCCTCACCTCTTCTGTCAACTTGTTTCGCCTGTAGATCTTCAAGTTTTTGTGACGAGACATTAGACATAAATCATCATCGTCGGCGAAATATAAATCTTCTTCCAGGGTCTCCTCATCGGTGCAGCCAGCGCATGTCCTTCTTATTGCTCCTCACAGTTGTTTGTTGCATGATCCAGTCCAATCCATTCGAGTCCAGTCAACCACAATGAGGAAGATGATCGCGCAAAGTAGGCCGCAGCTATGTCTTGCTTCTGTCTTCACTTCAAAGGCGTCACTGAGCTTTCCACTGTGTTGTGAATCACTTGGCATTCAGCATCATATAGCTTGTAGGTATTGAATGAATTCGATAACTGTTTATGGCGCTGAAACCATAGTGTTGAAGCAGTTGTCAAATTTCTTTTCTGTCGACGCTATTGAAGGTCTCTTCAAAGTAGATGAAGTTGAGGTTGAGTTGACTGCCATCCTGTGATCTGTTCTATGATGATGCGTAACGTTGCTATTTAATCCCTGTATGATTTGTTCTTCCTGAAGCCAGCCAGCCATCCAGCCCGTTTCGGTAGTAGTTTTGAGTTCAGAGTATTTTTTAGTTTCTCCAAGATGATGCGGCTTGATATTTTGCTTGGTGAGGATAGGAGCATAATTCTGCCCCAGTTCTTGCGAAGACTTAGGTCTCTCTTCTCGCAATCAAGAGGTACATTTCCTTATCCCAAAACCTTCTGCAGTAGTGGTGTGAGAATGTCCGCTGTTGTTTCTGCATGTGTTTTCAGTGCTTCTGGAGGACTTGAACCTGGTCCTGCTGCTTTCTCGGATTTCAGCAAATTTATGGCGTTCAGGAGTCTACTACTGTTTTTGTCATAGGGCTCGTGTTAACTGATAGTTCTGTGTCTGGGTTGCTGGTGGCATTTCTGGACGAGTTGCAGGTGATGGTGGTCGATTCACGAGTCTTTTAAAAAGCTCAGCCCATCGTTTCCTTTGTTTCTCCTCTTTGGTAATTAGATTTCCTTCATCATCGTTTATTGGTTTCATCTGCGTTGATCTCTTCCCTTCCAGATAGTAACCTGGTTATCTGATGCAATGTTGTCAGGTCTCTGTCCACCACCTGCAGCCTGTTTTGCTTCAGATGCAAGTGTGTCGTAGAAGTGTTTTTTGTCTTTGCGCGCACTCTTCTTTACTTCTTTATCCAGTGTTTTATACATTGTACTCAGTCCCTCTTTTCGTTGTGCATCCTTGCAGTGGTTCATCTTCTGCGATAATAATAATAATAGTAATGATAATAATGGCTTTATTCCATGCAGCACGTGTAGTACAGTGTGAAATTCTCAATACGTAATAGTTCAGCAAATTCATTCCCTGGACAACATCTTTAAGCGAAATAATCATAACACTTGAATAATGTAAATAAGTGCAGTAATTGAAGCCACAAGAGAACACAGGCATCTGGTATTACATAAGCGTCTTGTTTGGACTGGTGCATGAAAAGAAAATCCAGCGTAATTTTGACAACAATTCGAAATAGTCATCCAAGGAATAGTAATGTACTGCATTTCTGTGCATTTATA